ATGTATGTATGTATATGTATATATGTATATGTATATTATCCTCCTAAACGCTGCTTGTGGAAGCAACTTAATTTTACACTCTTTTACATGAACGCTAGTTCTCGACACATTGATACGCCCTCATCTTAAGCAATTTTAACGACAAAATGGGGTCTCCGAAAAGATACTTTACATTGTTCTTATCATTACTGCTATCATTATCATTATCCTACCATTAATTAGCAACAAAAACAAACAAAAATAAACAAAACAAACAAATTGAACGGAGCTCACCTAGACCTCGACGTATACGGAAATTGGATTCATAGTACCAAAAACCTTTGTACGAGTAGAACAAATAGCACTCCTCATGCCCTGTACATGACATGGTCCTGAAGAGGGAAAGGAATGAAAGAAGGTGTTTTTAATTTGTAAACATAAAATATATTATTTAAGACTGTTTAAATGGCAAATGAAGTGAAACAATTTCAATAACAGTAACGCGTCTACAACTCACAAGTTTTGTTAGATTGTTTTCCACAGTTTTCTAGTTACAATTTCAAAGCGCATCAATTTTGTGTTCTTATTGGCATCTTAGTACCTAAATCACTTCCAGCTACGAGCTTTGCCCTCTCATTATGGAGCTTGGAAAGCTTAAGCATTATAAATATGTTTCTGTTATGAATAATGTTATTCTCCTTCTCTGTTGCCGTTTCAATATTTTCTAATTACCCACACCTAGTAACATCACCCCTTATTTTGAGTGACTTATCAAAGAAAATGTTTATGGTACGTTCGCGCTCATTGTCTACCCACACTGTAGCCAAACACAGAGAGGAAAGCGCTGAAATTGGGAGTGAAATTTAATTGGAAAAGGAGGATAAGAAATTAGCTGTTTCGAAATAAATTTTGACATGCACTCATTTGAATGGGCCTAAGGCCTACACAACATTATAAGAATAATACCGTACACTAAGTGTAGATATTACTTACCCGCATTGAGTCGCCGATGACACCATGATGCTTAAAATACTTAATAAAATTATTTCGGCTGTAAGTCGCACCAACGATTCCATTTCAGTCACTACTTTGAGTTACACTCGCGGAAGAAAATTTCGGAGGCGATTTGATTCTGCAATGTTATATATGTTGTAGAACTTGGGACAGAGATGATTTCCGCTTAGCATTATAATTACCTTGACTTGCTCACTAGTGACAGATATGCCCTAAATAAACGCCTCAACTTTTTCATATTTAAGCTAAATCATATCAGCCACATGCACTTATAAAATGCAGCACAGACATGGAAGTAATTACAGTATTGCTAACTTTAACGAAACTTATTGGTGGCGCTATTTCATGGAAAATATTAAAGTATGGTTTTTGATGTATCATCACATCCACAGCGGAAACGATTACCTACATGGAGGGGATGATGGGGCAGCGAAGGTTAAGCGGGGGCGCAAAGGGGAAGGGATCGATGTTCAAGTTAGGGGAGTTGAATTGTAACTATTGAGCATGTATGTATGTATGTATGT